CGGATCGACAGGGTCAGGATCAAAAAACACAGGGGATTTGCCACATTTCTGAAATTCGGCGACACCCCTTACGCAGATCCGGGTCAGGATCCAAAAACTCAGGGGATTTGCCACATTTCTGAAATTCGGCGACACCCCTCAAGCAGATCCGTAGGGTAGTCGAAAAACAAACAGATCCCGACACTGCTTCACGACGGCGCCCAGACCTCATAATTTAGCTTTTGTATCTCCCATTATCCGAGGCAGAGGGCTGGCGGCATGGGGCGAAGCCCTTACGGATATCGAACAAATAACTCGACAGGACTCTGAAAATCTGATACCAGAACTGTAACACGGCTCCTACTGCGCCTTCCAACGGTCCTGGATAACAAAATCTGGCCTGAAAAGCTCGGCAAACGCTGCTGCTCCGACACAAGCCGCCCTGCTGGCGACGGCCTTACCGCCCCGCTGCCTGCGCCCCGATACGGGTCGTGGGCCGGCTTGGCCGCTGCCCGCTTCTCTTTTTGGCGTGCTCCCCAGGCATCGCCCTGGGGGTAGCTCGCTTCAGCCCCTTGCTGCGCCATCTTGCCCTCCTTTGGCCAACTTCTTTACCTCCTTACAGCTTTAGGCGGGAGGGCTTTTGGTCGCCTGGCTTTCTGTTTCTCCGGGGTTCCTCGGGGGCTCGGCCGCGCAGTGCCATTCACCTCACGTGCTGGCCGGGGCACTGGTTTTCTTGCACCCCTAGGGGTACGCGTGACATTTTCCACGGGCACCGTTCGTGGTCGGCGCAACTTGTCCGGCGGCGGCCTTACCGCCTTGCTGCTTGCGCCTTGGCATGGGGTGCGGGCTGGCATGGCCGCGGCCTGTTTGATTTTTGCTTCCTGCATCGCACCTGGGGTGCGCGTCGACACCCGGGGCTGCGACTCGCTGCTCCTGCTGGTTTCAGCTGTATGTCAGCTTGGTTGCCAGCAGCGTTCTCCGCGGTGGTTCGTCGGTCCCCTCTTTCTTCTGGGTCGCGGGGGTCACTCGCCTCGCCATCGTCGGTCTGTCGCGGGTCGGCCGCGTCGTAGGGTCTTCCGCCGACGTCTCTCTGGGCTTCTCTCTTGCTTTTGCTTTTGCTGCTTTCCCCCTTCTCCCTTCTACTCCTTCCGGGTCGTCCCCACCATGGGGGTCTGTCTCTGTCTGAGCGTTGTCGCCTTTTGGTCGGAGTGGTGAACCCTCTGCGACGACGCGTACAATATCTCTTGTGCCCAGGTGGTTGCCCCATCTTTTGGTTCTGTCTCCACCTGCCTTCATGGTAGCTCTTGGCGGCTTCGGTCGCGTTTGGGGTTGCTGTTTTAACGCTGGTGTCTACACTGCACGTTGGCCATGCTCGCGCCTGTCCACCACCCATATGCGCCGCCGCGTTTCGCGGGTGCTGCTCGCGGTCGCCCGCGCTCAGTTGTGGTTTTCTTGTACAAGGCTAAGCCAGTTTCGACTGCGTGGTCATCTCTGTGATGTCGACCTCCTGCATTATGTTGCACGGTCGCCTCATGTGATTCCTGCCCGCTGCAACGTCGGTGGCGTTGCTTCGTCGCGCAGTTTCCCTGCGTGTATGCATTGCCACCAAATTGGCTGGTCTGGCAACCTTACAACTCTTTTTCGTTGTCTCCTCGAGGCTCTAATTAGCACCAGGACTATTGTTTGCGCTTCAAACTTCCTGTGTCAAGCTTTCGCTCCACGGGTTCTTCGGCCGCTGCACTTTGGCTTTACAGCGCCTCCCTTTTTTCACTACCAATATGCACGGCCGTGACTAAATTATCTCATCATGGCGAGTTCGACTAAGTTCGTTCGCAAGTGGCACCTCCACCTGCCGACCGCGCCCGAGGCCCCCCTGCGCCAACGACATAAAAAAGCGTGTGCGCACGTGTGCGTGTGTGCGTGATTGCGTGTGTGCGTGTATACGTGTGTGCGTGTGTGCGTGTGTGCGTGTATGCGCGTGTGCGTGTGTACGTGTGTGTGCGAGTTTCCTCGTGCCTTTTGTTTTTCTCGTCGTCTCTTCCTCATTTCTCTTTTTCATAGTAACGGCGGTTGTCTGGCTGGATAGCCAACTCGCCGCGCTCGTTTGCCCTAACAGTAGCACGGTGGATTGACCCTCTTCACCTCTGTCCGTCCTTACAGGCTTGCGGACGTGACAGTCTCTTTGTTTGCGGGCAGGTTGTGCGATAATATCGTTGATTCGTGCGCCCCATGTCCGGTGCTTGAAGTATTGGGCGCGGCTGATGACGCAGCTTCTTTGGTACGCGGCGGCTGGCATTGTCACGTCGTTGGCCCTACCTCACGCATCATCGCGGTCGCTTTGCGCTGCTGATCTGTAGGTCAGCACCCTGCCTATCTGCCTCGCAGATCCGCTGGGTTGGCCACACTGCCGATCTGCATAGCAGTACTTATTGTTTGCGCTGCACTGTCTAACACCGCTTATTTTTTGCGCTTCACTGTCTAACACCGCTATGGTGATTCAGTGGCCGCAATTAGTTATGCGCTGTCGCGCTTCGCTTCACTTTGAGTTGAGTAATATCCTCGTTTTCTGGCCGCTGCATGTTTCGTTCGGACTTACAGTTCCTCTAACACACCCTTCGATTGCATATTGCATTGTGCGACGCTTGTACGCTGCGCTGTCGACAATGCCGGTCACACTTAGCACCTCCAGCTGCTGCTCGCGCTCGAAGACCGTCCGCGCCGCTGACTTAAAAATGTGTGTGCGTGTGTGCGCGTGTGTTTCTAATTAAAGCTGTGCGTAGCCCGCCTAGCTTTTAGCGGAAGAGGTTCGCTCTCGCCCCGCAGATCAAAAAGTGTGTGCGCGTGTGTGTGTGAAATCATTGTGTGTGTTAAGAAGTCACCCAGAGCTTTCTGACTGGCTTTTCGGCGCTAACAGCTATACGGTCCGCCACTGCTGTCGCTGAGGCGGGCGAAACAAACAAAACAACATGCGATCAGAAGAATAGCGATGCACGTCCAAACCAAACAAATCCCAGCGGAGCGGTAGAGTATGGACACCCCGGACCAGCCGAGAACCATCGACAAATCTGCAGCAGCGAGATGGAAGAATACATATGAGAACCCACGACCAGCCGAAGCAAGCGGGAAATCCCAGCGACCAGGGGCAGCGATAACAGCGTGAAAGCAACGGAAAGCAACCGAACCACAGCTGAACGAAAGCCATGTCATATTGCTCGCAGAATACCGCACTCTGATGACACCACATCTCCCGTCGTCCAGCATCTTCAGTGTTCTCGACGCCATACGCCTACCGCGCTGTGTGCGAGGGAGGTAGAATGCCGACTGGCGCTGTGGGGGCGGGCAGACCGACCCACCGCTTTGTCGCATCAGCTCCGCTCCCAGGCCCCCCGAGCGGCCCGAGAGCGGTGATGAAGTCGCTTGGCAGCGCAACTCGATATCACGACTATGCTAAAGTTTCCACCCGCACGGTGTCCGAGCGAGCCTCAGCGAACAGCAGATGAGATAGATGGAGAGTGGAAGGCGATCGGAAAGCTGACGGCCGCGATACTGCAGAAACTTGTCTTCTCTATCGGCCACACTCGAGCGTCGAACAGGGGAGGTGACCACGGACGAGCGCCTCACTGCAGGATTCGAGGCCACGGAATCAGGCAAGGCATCGGAGAAAATTGCCTCGCAGTGCTGCGTGCTTTTCCCCGAAGCGAAAGGGTCGTACTGCCCTGTAGCACTGCAACAAACACCCGAAGATGAGTACTGCCTCGCAGTGCAGCAAACGGAACACCCGCCACCGCCCTCCGCGCCCAGGGACCGCGCCGCAAATCAGAGAACCTTCGAACTGACATGCTCATGTAATGCTGTTGAGCGCGGCTTAGGTCCCGTTTAACCCAGTATGTTTCAGTGCAGTCTGGCACTTCTCGAACTAATTACTCCAGTGAAACGCGGTTTTGTCAGTCATTCTCTGCGTTTCGTCCAACCTAATAGGACTCCACCAATTCGAGTATGGCTTGTTCTGGTCTGGTCTCATAAAGCTCCCTTTCACTCAGTTCATGCGAAACGCCCTGTCACTATGTGGACAGGACTGAACTAAGCACGCAATTCATGTCAGAAGATCATACGATCTAGGCTGCTTCGTAAACCACCAGCAGCCCACCAGCATCAAGCCTCGATCGAAAAACATACAGGAAAAGATGGACAAACCCTTCCACAAACCTTCTACGTCGTGATTTGTTCAACCTTTGGGCCCCAGAACTCACGACCCGTTCCCCAGCGACAGTGTTCTGTCGCGGGCTGGTCTTGTGATCCCCAAACGTTCTGAAATATCGCTGGGATTGAAAAAACAGTCTGCCGGAGGTCTGGGTCCCCACCCCCCTCTTCCTGTCACCCCCTGAAACAGCGCGCAGCGGTCTGGATTACCCGTGGACCGGGAATCTGGCCCCTTCGACAAGGAGAACAGAACGCAGTCAACGACACAAAATGTCGCCTCGAAACTGACGGCTGCCTGAGACCCAGACCTCCGGCGGATTGACTTGTCCGATCCCAAAGGATTTCCTCAACTTCGGGCCTCCAGGAGCCGTTTGTGGACCCCGGGACCATCGGAGAACGACGTCTCCAAATGCGGTACCCGGCGCCTCGAGCACAGGGCCGCCGCAAAATGAAGTGTCGGAGCCTGTTCTGGGGAAGGCTTCGCAGTGCCTGTCCTTGGCCCACCTGGCACCAACAAAAAGAACGCTCGGAACGCAGGCACACACAGATAAACGTGTACGTATGTACGCGCATACATGTGTATACACACATGCATATATACATAGATACGCCAATGTACCATATGTACACATATATGCATACATAAATACATGTATACCTATATGCGCAAAAAAGCATGTAGATATATAAATATGTGTATCTACGTATAGATGTACAAGTATGTATACATGAATACACAGAAGTACATACACACATATGATCACAACGATCCCTGTATGTCTAGATAGATGTGCGTATGCGCATACGACTTGGAATGAGGAATAATGAAGAAGCGAGCGAGGATGATGAGCGAAGCTGGGCGAGGACCTTCGGGTGGGGCGGCCAAAACTCCCGATAGATAACTACCGAATGCCGTCAAGAGCGGCAATACGTACCCCTGGTCAGGGCATCGAGCCCTGCACGAACTCCGAAAGCGCACACGCGCATCGCAATGTCGCGCAAGAAATCGGCACTCGCGCACATGCGCCACCGTGCCCTCGGCACGCAGTGGAGTGCCTCAAGACTCATGCAGCTCCGCGAGGTCAACGGCTTGTGGCTCTCAAGGGGCTCTTCAGAACCCGGACACCCACTTCCCCGTGCGGTCCCGGGCGCCACTGCGCCCTGCCGTGCCCCCTGAACCTTTGGGACTCCAAGAGAGCCCCAAAACGGGCAAAGATTAAGTCGGGCCTGTCCCACTACAGGCGGATTTTGAACGAAATCTATATATATATATTATTCTAACACACATTAAAATCAAAAATAAAAAATAAAAAATGTCAACAAAATACTCCAGAAAGTCGTCCCCTGACTATTTTCTGACTGGTCTTGAATATTCCCCCTGTAGAGGGACAGGCCCGACTTAAGGCAAAAAAGACCCTGAGAGATCGCAAAGACGGCCGAAAGGGTCCCCAGTCTTCGAACGACCGGTCCAGATGCCCCCAAGACACACCAAAAGGCCTCCAAGGGGCCTCCCAAGAGGCCAAATTCATTGATTGTCCCAAGGTTTTGAAGGAGTTTGGCGTCTTCGCCGCTTCAGCTTCCGACGCTCCCAGACGGCCCAAGAGGCCCCCAAGAACGCCGCAAGACGGCCCCAGAGGCCTCCAAGAGGGTCCCAAGACGGCACAAGACGGCCCCAAACCTTACCAAGACGGCCCAAGAGGCCCTCAAGAAGGCTCCCAGAAGGGGGTCCCGACGGGGAACCCGAATGGACACTTCGAGCCCTCCGCCCCGGGAGGCCCCCAGGAGGCCCCAAGAGGCCCCCAACACACCGCCAACAGCCCCCAACAGGTCCCCAAGAGGTCCCCAGGTAGCCCTAAGAGGCCCCCAAGAGGCTCCCAAGAAGCCCCCCAAAAGGCTCCCAAGAAGCACAATAACTACCCCCAAGAGACCCCCGAGAGAGCTCCCAAGAGACCCCAAGAAGCATCCCTGAGGGGGAATAACGAGCCTCCGAGCTGGGAGCTGCCGACAGAAACTTGGACGCAGGTTCGCGCCGCGGTCAGACACAGCAGGTGCAACCCTCGTGGTGTCCCATAGGGCACCCTGCACCAAGCGAGACAGGATCCCCACGCGCGGCATTCGCCCGGCGACAGTTCACAAGCCTGAGAGCCAGCAGCACAAAAGCCGCCCTTCAGACGCGCAGAGTAGAATTGATCGAGGTGCTCGAGCTTGAGACCGCATGCGGGGCGGCCCTACAGTGCCCCTCCCTGGCCCACCTGGCACCTGCAAAAGCAACGCTCAGGGCGCATAGATACGACTGGAAATGACAAGGAATGGGGAAGAGGACGAGAATGATGAGCGAAGCTGGGCGAGGACCTTCGGTTGAGGCGGCCTAGTCCCCCGATGGACAAGCACCGAACGCTGCTGCAGCCATTAAAAATCACCCCCGATCGGGGCGTCCATCCCTGATCGAACTCGCCCTCTAGGCGACTAATCGTCACTTGCCCGAGTGAAACGGAGGACGAGGATGAGAGCAAAAGGGAAGAGCGAAGTACCAAAGCTGGGCGAGGAACGTCGGGTGGGGAGGCGGAATTTCCCGAGAAAGAAATCCCACCAGCCCTTTAGGGCGTGAGCAACCCTCCTTCTTCCCCTTCGGGGAGGGGTCCATCCCTCCCCCTACCCCCTACCCCTGGACCTGGATGGGGTGGGCGCCGGGCCGTTAGAGCGTCCAAGATGGCCTCGGCGAGAAGGCCAAAATCACTGATGTCACTAAGGTGTTGGCCACATGTTGACCTCCTGGGGGGGGGCACTAACTAAGGAGCCCCCTCATTTGAGCGATCTCCTCCAAAATGGCCCCAGAGGCTCCAAAGGGTGCGCCCAGGAGGCCCTAAGAGGCCCCCCGGGGGCCCCCACGATGCCCCCAAGACGTTCCCAAAAGATCCCCAAGGGGCCCCAGGAGCCCCCCCCAGTGGCACCCGAGTCGCCCCAAGAGGCATCGGCGAGAAGGCCAAAATCATGTATTGTACTTGGGTGTTGGCCACACTTTTGTCTCCTGGGGAGGGGGGCCTAATTTAGGGAGGCCCGTCCTTTGATCGATCTCCAAGAAGGCCCTAAAATTGCCACCGAGGCTCCCAAGGGTGCCCCAAGACGGCCCCAAGAGGTGACCGAAAGGCCCGAGGAGGCCACCAAGACGCCCCCAAGATGCCTCCAAGAGGCTCCCAAGAGACCCCCAAGAGACCCCCAAGAGGCTCCCCAGAGGCACCCCTGACGCCCCAAGAAGCGGAGACTGCCAAGAAACCTCCAAGACGCCCAAGAGGACTCCAAGGAAGTCTCTGAAAACATCCGAAAAAACTCCGAGAGGCATCATGAAGCTTCTGGCTTTTCTGGTCGCCCTCCTCCTCCTCCTCCGATGATGAATCCTCCATCCTCCCCCTCTTCGGGCATGACGTCTTACCCAGCACTTTCTTCTACTGCACGCTCCTCCACATCCCTGATCAGGGCAATTCGTCTGGGCATGGTTCCTGAATGGGCTGGTGGGGTCACTTTTTTAGTCAGCGGCCGCGGGCGAGCGCGCCAGCGGCGAGTCAGGTCAAAGCGGGCTACGCAGAGACTAATTAGGCAGAGGCGGCGTGCAAGGCTACAGCTAACGCGGCAAGCCGAGGCCTCACGCAGCGGCCCAGCGGAAGGTGGGTGGCAGGAGAAACTGAAACTCAGTGGAACTGCCAGCGTGCAAAGATGCAGGCCCGTCGAAGGCGCCAGAAGTCGGGATGGCTGGTGGGGTTACGCGAAACGTCTAAAACTTCAAACGCTGACGGCCGTACAACATGGCGCTGGGAAACGCAGGCGCCGCCGCCCGCCCAGCCCGCCGCAGGCTGCCTCGCCAATGGCCCTTTCGGCCGGCCCTTCAAAAAGAGTGCTGCCCGTGCGCGGTTGGCACAAGACAGATCCGTTCCAACGAAGCAGAAGCCTCCGATCCGGGAACTGGCGAGAAGCATGTTCGCCAGTCGCCAGTTGCCGTAGACTCAGCAGGTGCGGACCCCGAAGTGCCGCGTGGCCCACGAGGAACGCGGGCGCGCTCACGGCGAGAGGCCCGACGCCTCAGACAAGGATGGTCCCGCGACGCGCCCGCGGCTGCACACGCCGCAGAATGGCGAATCCGGCGCGCGCGTCTCACGCAGAGGCCCGAAGCCGCAGGCGAAAGCGCTCCGGCGCTTCACCGTCAGCAGCATCTCCCCGAGTGGCGAGTCGGGCCCGCAGCGGTCCACCGCGCCAGGATCCCAGGCCTCGGTCGCCCCCTGCCCGAAGGCGAGGCCGTGGGTCGCCTCCCGCAGGGTGGCGGAGCCGCGCCGCGTCCTCCACAGCATGCTGTCGAGCGGCGAGGTATCGCAGCGGTCCACCGCGTTGGGCTCGAGGGCCTCGTCTTCATCCGACCCATCGAGCTCCAGGGCCTCGTCATCATCCGACGATTTAGAATCGAGGTCCTCGTCACAAACCGACCCACGGAAGTCAACCATCATGGACCCGAAGCCTTCGCAAGTGGCCGTCGTCGATGCGCTGACCAGCCTGGCCCAGTCTTTCGATGAGTTCTTGTTGCTCCTCGCCCTTAGGCGGTCGAGGCTCTTGGCCGTCGACAGGTGCATCCCAGGAATCAACGCCATGTTCAAGGAAGCTGGGCGGAGGCAACGGAACATGATGCAATGAAGAATGCAGCGAGCTGTTTCGAAATCTGGCCAAATTTGGCTTGATCCAGCGCACACGTTGAACGAAATCCACCGATCCTGTGTGTCTCTCTAGGCGTGTGGGATGTTCCCCCCTATATGTCCCCCAGGGGACCCAGAACTGAAAATTTGCAGTCGCTCGAGCGATGTTGCATCGTTTGACGGTGGGTGGCCCATTGTCAGAAGGGCAATCGACGAAACCAACCCCGATTGTCCATTTGACAATGGAGGGGTAAGGGATTTCTCACTGTCAAGTGGGGAACCAGGTTTACCGATGGCCCCCCTGACAATGGCGCCCCCACCGTCAAATGGGCGTTCGGTGTTCATTTCCCACCGCTCTGGCTTAGTCCCGCAATTGCCAATTCGAGGAGGAGGAGGAGGCGGAGGACGAGGACGAGGAGGAGGGGCGACCCACTGCGAAATGGCACCCTGAAGATCCCCCTTCCGGCCCGCTCGCCCCCCCCGAATGCCCATCTGACAGTGGGGCCCCACTATCAGATCGCCCTTCGGCCCCCCCGGCCGGGGCCCCCGAAAGCGCATTCGACAATAGGGCCCCTCTGTCACACAGCCATTCGGGCCCCTTCCTCCGCTGGAGTCCCCCAAGCTCCCTTTGAATCCCTTCGGACGCTTTGAAATCATGACAGCTTCCGCGGGGTTCCTTGACATTATGAAGGGTTCCTCTGGGTTCCTTTGGGCTCCTCAGGGTTCTTCTGGCCCGGCCGTCTCGAAAGATGCGAAGACGAGCTGGTGTCATATGCAAAGCACGCTGGCTGGAGCTCGTGGGCACACGCGGTATCGAGTTAGATTGTTTGGCAGGAGAATGAGAACAGCTTTTGCAGCACGCTTGGCGATGAACGCACGACGTCTCGTGCAAACATTTCATGTTTGAATTGTTTTTGACCCGATCCCACATCGAGTGGCATTCGTAGAAGGCCTGCGCGTGACTGGCGCGCCAGCCTCCCTTGCAGAGACGCTGGCTTCCCGGCGGCGGCTGCTTCCTTCGCTCGTTCGTTCCTCAGGGGTCCTGCACATTTCACCAGATTCTTTTTCATGTTTTGGGATTCCTCGGGATTACAGGTTCATACATCGTCCTTTCGATTCTCCGATGATTCCTCAGGACTCCTTCCGATTCATGCAAGTTCCTTAGGTTTCCTCCAACTTCCAAAACATCCGAGGATTCCGTTGGACACCTCAGGACTACAACTTGAAATACTCCAGGTTTCCCAGATTCCCCAGGAATCTTCTCGATTGCCGCGCATATCTTAGGACTTCACCAGATTCCCCAAAACTTCTCCAAACTCCTCAAAATTCATCTGAATTCGAACACGTCCTACGGGCTCCTCATTTAATTTGGGGCCTCACTGCGAAATGGCAATTCGGCACCCCCCACCCTCTGGATTCTCCCAACTTCCTCTGGGCTCCTCTGGGTGCCTTCAATTATCGCCCCCCCCCCAGGTGAGCATTTGACAGCGGGGTTTCACGTCAAATGTCTATTTCCCCCTATTGGATTATCCAAACTTGCTTTGGGTTCCTTTGGGTGCCTTCAAATTCTCCCAAATTCCATGGGTTTCCTTTGGTTTCCTCAGGGTTCATCTGGGTTCCCTTGGGTTCCTCGAAATTCCAGCAGATGTTGCAGGATTCCTGTTGATTCATTTGGGTTCCTTTCGGTTCCTGCTGATTCCTCGCCATTCCTCTCGTTCCCCGTCTAGTTCATCCGAATGTCTTCAGATCCCAGCTCATTCTTCAGGCTTCCTCAAGTTCCCAAAAGAATCGATACGTGTCCTTTGGATTCCCCTGGATGCCTTAAGAATGCTCCAAATTTTTCCCAGTTCCCTGCAGTCCTCCAGACTCCATAACATGCCCTATGGCTTCTCCAGAGCCCTCAGAACTTCTCGAGATTCTTCAAGATAAGACATTCGAGGGTTCCTCCAGATTCCTCGCGATTCCCCTGGCACGCTCCAAATGTCCTAGATTCCGCGGGAAGCCTCCGCATTCCCGCGGATTCTTAAGGAACTCTCCAGATTCACCAGAACTTCTCCAGATTCCTTCAGATTCCTCTGGGCTCGCACACGTCCTACGAGTTAGTCATTCTTTCGCTTCTAGGGGCACCCCGAATGAGCTGCGGGCAGTGGGGCCCCACCGTCACATGTCCACTCGGGCCGCCCCCTGCTGCATTCTACCAACTACCCTTGGATTCCTTATGGTGCCCACAAATTATCCCAAATTGAATGGGATTCCTTCGAAAATCCTCGGGTTTCTGCTGCATTCCTTTGAACTCCTCAGCGTTCCTGCACACTCCACCGGATTCATGTTCATGTCTTCGAGTTCCTCACGATTCCAAACTCCTCAGACGTCCTTCCAAATCATTTCTGATTATTCAGAATTCCGTCAGCTTCGTGTCGATTCCTGCACTTTCCTCAAATTGCCAAACGATTCGAATGTTCCCCTGGACTCTTCTGGATTCCCTTTGGGCGCTCCAGATGTCCCAGATTCCTGGGGAATTCTCCAAATTCCTCAGGACTTCTCCAGATTCCCAAACCTCCCCTGGACTCCTCAAGAGTCCGCTGGATTCGAACACGTCCTATGGATTCCTTGTTTTGTTTCATTCCTTTGACCCCCCTCCCAACGCGCAGTTGACAGCGGTGCATCACCGTCAGCATGATCCCCAGACGGCCCAAGAGGCTTCCAAAACGCCCCAAGAAGCCTCCAAGAGCACTCCCAGGAAGGCCCCAAGAGACGAAATCCACTGTCTTTTGACTTTGACATGTTGTCGCGTTTCACCCTTTTCGGCCTCCCGACGCTCCAAGGCTGCCCAAGTATCCTCAAGCATCGCCCCAAGATGGCCTAAGTGGCCCCCAAGAGGGCGCCGACACAGCCCAAGAAGCCCCCAAGATGGGCCAAGAGGCCTCCAAGAAACAAAAAGAAACAAATAGCCCGAGGGGAACCACGAATTGACAGGTCGAGACCAAGAAAACCCTAGGAAGCCCCAAGATGCCCCCAAGAGGCCCCAAAAGGCCCCCGAAAGACCCCCAGGAAGCCCCTACAGCATCCCAAGAGGCTCCCAAGAGGCCCCAGAGCAAGACGCCGGAGGCTCCCAAAGAGCCCCCCAAAAAGATTCCAAGAAACACCCCTGAGGACTCGGACCCACCACCCAGGCATGGTGGCGGGAAATGTCGATGCCCACTGAAAACTAATCGTGATCCTCATCCTCATCATCATCATCATCATCATCATCATCATCATCATCATCATCATCATCAGCATCATCAACATCATCAGCATCATCATCATCGTCGTCACCATCATCAGCAGCATCAGCATCAGCATCAGCATCAGCATCAGCATCAGCATCATCATCAGCATCATCACCATCACCACCACCATCATCATCATCATCATCATCACCACCATCATCATCCTCATCCTCCTCCTCCTCCTCATCATCATCATCATCCTCATCCTCATCCTCATCCTCATTCTCACCATCAGCAGCATCATCACCATCATCATCATCACCACCACCACCACCACCATCATCATCATCATCATCATCATCATCATCATCATCATCATCATCATCATCATTTTCACCACCATCATCATCATCCTGCTCCTCCTGCTCCTGCTCCTCCTGCTGGTGCTCCTCCACATCATCATCCTCCTCCGCCTCTAGCTCGTCATCCTTTATTCCTCTCCTCCTCCTATCCCAACTCCTCCGACGAACGTCAACGCTATCATTATCATGGTTTCCTTCGACCTATTGATGATCATCATCGCCTTCAAAGTTTGCATCATCATTATCATTATAATTATCATCATCAGCATCAGCATCATCAGCATCATCAGCATCAGCATCATCAGCATCATCATCATCATCATCATCATCATCATCATCATCCCCACCATCATCATCAGCATCATCATCGTCATCATCATCACCAGTATCATTCACATCATCATTATTAGTATCATCAGCAGCAGCATCATCCTCACCATCATCACCATCATCATTATCAACATCGTCATCATCATCACCATGATCATTCGCATCATAATTTTAGTACCATCATCAACAGCATCGTCATCATCAGCAGCAGCATCATCACCATCATCACCGTCATCAGTCGAACTGTCGCCACTCAAGGTGTTGGGCGGGCACGGCGGCGGGACTTGCCGTAAGCAATGGGCCGATTGACCGACTAAGTACGGAAGGTATGATGAGGCGACATGAAAGGACGATACGGTGACACTGCAAACAAGAAACCACATTCACGGTATGGAGAACAAGCTGTCGTCGGCATCACTGGTTCAATGACATCGCGGTGAGCTTGCCACATCCACACGGAGCATGGGAACGGGACCGGGACCAGGGACGCAGTGCGATTTCCGAAAAAAACAACTGACACATGTGGACGGGGTGTTTGCGGGATGCCGATACTACAAACAGGAGCAAATTCCAAGAACTGCTGGACACATGACGGCAGACCGACGCTGCTCATCGACCAGATCACGTGGCCTTGCCATCCGAAGAAACAGTGAAGGAGGGGCCCGAACAGAGGATGATCAGAACGAAGCCGTGACACCGATAGAGGACAGCAGAAGAGTAGGGCACATCCTTCACTGACCAGCGCGGGCCCGCTTTTGGAGCGCGAACCAGTACTGCGCTTGCCTCCAGCGACAAGCTCCGCTGAACTACACGATGAAACATGTGATTGTAGCAGGGGATGTGCTTGCAACTCATACAGCAGGAGCTCGACCACAATAAACCTTCCACAAGAAACCCAACCCTGAGAACCCAGAATGTTCATTGACTGTTGGTATGGGAGCGTCATGCTCTCTATAGCGAAACAATCGAAACCCAAGGAAACCAGGGCACCCTGGAGGCAAGCAGGGTGTTCTTTGGCATGGGATTCCACTGTACGGCAGTCCCCGTCGTGACGACGCTGGCGATGGCTTCCGACACGGTGCGCACCGTTCAGACCTTGAACGGTCTCCGCTCGCGGAGGTCTCAGGGGCTGTCGACCACGTGTTTCTTTCGGATCCCGCGCAGAACGTTCATTTCTGCCTCCTCCTTCCTCCTCCTCCTCCTCCTCCTC